GGGGCAGCGTGCTGAACAGCACGCGAGGAGACCGGAAACGCCTCTTCTTAAAAAATTTGGGGTCCATGGTGATATTTATAGCTTCTCTTCTGCCAGCTGTCCAAGCAGAGTGGCTGTGGGATGTCTGTGGAGCTGCCTTGGGAATGTTGTGTCTGTTGCTCCGGTGGGGATTGAGCGGGGGGTGTTCTGCAGGATACTCCAGTGGAGCATCGTCCTCTGACTTTGGAGCTGCCTGTGTGCCGATCAAAAAAGCTATAATCAGAGTGTAGTACAGCATGGACATTACGCAATGCACCTAGAACAAAAGAGAAATGTCATGTTACTGGAAGCCATGCTGGCACAAACAGATGCCGTTGCTGGCAAATTTATAAGATACTCAGGATCACACAGATTTCGTCAGGTATTCAGGTGGGTGCCAGATGTTGTTCCTCCGGAAGAGCTCATTCAGACAGCATAAATGTTCTTAATAAAGCGAGAACATTAGAAAATAATAGCTAGATTATTATGAATTCCTCTGGTATTTGTTATTAGAGCACTGTTTATGAAGCACTTGTTTGGTGTTATTAATCTGGAGACCATATGGCAACGGCATGTTCCCAGGAGTAAAATCTCTAGTGATTTTTGCAGCACCTTTTTGGCCAGAGCCGGTCTCTTGGCTGCAAATACCCTGCAGAGCAGTGAGAATAGAAACAGTCTCTTGGCTAAAATAGCTGCCCGCTCAGTTAATTAGTCTGCAGAGGTGTCCTTGGGGCTAGGGTGGGGACCACCAAGCTGGTACTTGTGGAAGCCAGGAGAGCCCCAGTGAATCATGCCGTTACCACATGTTCACCAGCTGTGCTTACCTGCCGTGTGGACAGGCCCCACCGCTCTGGCTGGCTCAGCAGCCTCCATCTACCCTATCTGCACTTTTGGGATGTCAAAATCTACTTTTACCTCGCGAGGTTGGACTGGATGATCCTTGTGGTCCCTTCCAACCTGGGATTCTATGATTCTGTGATTCACATTGCTGGTTTTGGGCAGATACAGCCCAGGCTCCTTCCCAGAAGAGCTCGGGTATCACATGTCACAAGGGCAGATGGGTTTTTAACATTTTCAGGCTGCCTATTAGAACAAATATGGGTATTGCATAGGAACACCATGGGTGATAGACTGCTTCTAGGTTGCTATCTTAGGTATAGCACAGCTAAACATTGTGGCCATAGCACTGGGAACTATGTCCAGGGAAACATTTCCTTTCTTCAGAGTGTCGTGAGCAAGAAGCCCATGAATGTCACTGCATAGCAGATCCAGTGCCAGCACTAGTCTTCCTTCGGCCTGGAGAATATGCACATCCATTTAGGTGTGGAAAAGCGTAAGACAAATGTCTAAAACTTTGCTGAGAACGTTATGCTAGCAGACCAGCATCAGTAATACCTTGTTAGGTAAGTGCCTTGTGTTGACTAATTCAGCCATGTGTTGGGTTAACAAATCAGCAGCAGGCATCCTGGGAATAAGAAACATTCAGAAATGATCTGAAGTTGCAGTTAAGGGCAGACATTGTATTTCCTCTACGAAGACTTAATAAGCAGAGACTAGGTATAAACAGAAAAGAAACCACCGAGCGAGGCTCCTCCCCTGTCTCTCTGCCTTGTTTTGCCCGACGTGTCTCAGCTGGCCCTGAGTTACGCGGTGTCCGGCCAGCGGGCAGGCGGCCGCACATGGACTGGACAAACAGGGTTTTGTAAAAGAGGAACCAGGCTCTGCAGTTCCACTGTGATTTCCCAGCATGTCTCAGTGTTTTTTCTGGGTGTGGGTCAATTGCTGTTGAAGTTTCCCCCCTCTTTCTGTTCAGCTTTCTCAGCCTAGAATCCCAAGCAGTGCTAAAGCGCTCAGCCAGGGCTTTAGCTTTGCTAGAGCCCAATCTTATAGAAAACACAGAACCCTAGGATGTTCTGTAGGATCTCGTGTGGGTAGTCCTGTCTCAGACAAGAGCTGAAATGAAATAAGCAGCAGTGTTTGTGCAGTGCTGGGCAAGCATTTAAGAAATCAGCAGGAGATGCCAAGTGAAGGTAGCAACTGAAGAGGGTGAAGATGCTACGGTCCCTGTGTCAAGGGGAGAAAAGAGAAAGGCCAAAAGTTACGTTAGCAGTTGTCCGTGCAGCAGTTGGGCTGGAAGAATTGGGGACAAAATGATGATGACGAGTGTCAAATCCCGCTCTCAGAGAAAATCCTTACTGTTCCAAAGCTACTTTAAATTGCTTTAAACAAGGCTGAGGGTTGCTGGTTTCCCACATGCTGCTCGTGCTTAAGCAGTCATCATCATCTGTATAAGGAAACAGAGCTGGGTGTAGCTCAATAGCTTGGCTGTGCATGATCCAGAGAGTAACCCCTTGTTCTACAACCAAATTAAAATCAGATGGTTCATTACATCTCTAAAGAGTTAGCTTACCCGACAGAAATGTTAATGGAAAAGGTTTGCAGAACAAAATCCAGGCACAATTTAGACATGCCAATGGCAGCCTCAACCTATTGTGTTTATACATAAACCCTTTTTTAATTATTTCCTTCTATAGAAAAGAGATGTTGCAATGTCAGCTAGGAGCTGTTTCTGGGTTTGTGCTGTGCAAGGTTCGCTGCTCTAAAATGCAGCTGCATTTATCTCCATTCTCTGAGGGTTTTTATGTTGTGTATGCTAAGGTTATTGCTGTAAGGCCATTCACAGAAAATCAGCAAGATCTCACCTGCTTGCTGTTGGGTTTTTTTTGTTTGGTTTTTAACTTGCTTTCTAGTTCCTCTCCTTGTGGTAAAGCGTTCTGTGGGAAGTGTGGTGCAGACACAGACATAATGTAGTTGGGATACAAGTCAGTTCCACTGAAGAGTCACAATTGGTTTTTTGAAGCAATTGCTAAAGTGTTGGAGAATAAAAATTGACAGATTATGTAAGTGGACTGTGCTTGATGGCAACACAAGGAAAGAAGTGAACATTTAAAGAATAGGTATCCCGTAGGGTGTGATGATTGTGGACTCTTTTGCTGACACATACGGATATTTTACAGGCTACTTTGGGGGGTTATTTCTAACCTTTGTCACATACTTAGTCACTAGACCCTTTCATGGTGCTTTCTAGGAGTTCACAGAGCATGCAAAGTGCAGCCACCTGAACTTCCAGGGAGGTGCCACTTCTGTTGCTGGTAGTGCATGGGTATCTGTTTGTGACATGGACTGTGAAGGTGATCACATGCATTTCAATGCTAAAAAATACAGAAACTCCACTAAATCAGAGGATGTTTAATGAGAACTGTGTCTTCTAAGTGGGTCATCTCTCATTTTAAGTAGACATTCCTTACAAAAGATAGGATGTCTGGATACAGAGTAAAAGAGGACAGAGTAAGTGGAAATTTTAGCCAGACGTTAGCTTGCTAGTGGGTATCAGTGAGGCAACTTGTTTAGTGAGTAAAAAATCTAAGCTTTTCAGAAAGTAAGACTGCCCTCACCTTCATTCTTTGGAAGATAGAGCAATGATTTTTTAAGTTCAAGGTGCCAGCTCTCTTTGCCACTTGTATGTTTGCCAGGTGTGATTTAAACCCCTCTTCTGGTACAGCCGTTCAGGCCGCTGTGTGATACTGGTACCAGGTGACTTCAGTCTGCCCTGAGAAAAGTGTGTGTGTTGTGCTTACCTCCGAGGACACTGCTCAAAAACCTGCTCCCCCAGCAAGGTCTTTATTTCATCCAGATGCTGAGCTGGGGTTGGCTGCAGCGTGCCATCGGGCCAGTTTGACTGCGTAGCTGAGTCTGGGAGGTGCTTATTCTGTGCCCCACTAGAAGTAGAAGTATTCGTTTCAATAATTAGCCAGCAAATAAGTGTTTTCAATACCATTCCTCACTTGATAGCAGGAGCACGGGGACAAATTTGCTTCCTTGGCTCTCTGGACTGTGCCTTTTTCACTGTTACAGTGTGAAGGTTGGCCGAAGTGCGGTTCTTGACTTTCAAGAATGGCACATTTGTAAGACAGAGCTACCTTTACTCAGTGCCTTTACCAGCCTGTGCTTAATAACCCACTGCTCCTGATCCCTCTCAGGCATCTCCCAGGCTCCCCAAAACCAGGAGCGATGCAGCACAGTGAAGCAATACCTGCTGCTGCTAAGGGTAGCTGCTGAAGCCTGATGAAGAAGGGAAGCAACAGCTACAACAGCTGGGAAATCTCTTGGTCAATTCAGTAGCTAATCGGAGGGAGAATCCCAGGTTGCCATTTGTTGACAGAGAATGATCTGGTATTTGAATGGCTGATATTTGAAAAGAGCTGAAGGTACAAAACTACCTGACACATGAAGCCACATACTTAAATGCTTGTCCTCTGGCTACTGTAAAGGCAGAAACAACTCCAGTCTTAATTACTACACCATGGATGGTCATACAGACCCCAAATCAAAGGAAAACCATTATTTTCTTCAACAATTAAATCCAGCATGTTGACACACTCTCAGTAGAATGCATTTCCTATTGTAAATTCATGAGTATCACTGATAGAAGTAGTATTTTATTAATCTTAAATATTTAGGTAGCTTATCTAAAGGTTTAATAAGATACCATTTAATAAGGTAAAGAAGGGTTGTATAAAGGTACAGCTGTACTGGAAAAGATCCTGCTGGATTCAGTGCGGGGGTTCAAGTGCGTTTGCAAGGGAGAACGTGCTGCTGACGCCAAAGCATGAACTGCAGTCACTTCACACGTGCGTGATTTCTGCCCACGGGAGAGCTGGCTGCCAGTAACTGCAGGCACTGTGCTTGCTCCTACCGAGACCCAAATACAAGCTACTTAATTTAAAAAAATCTTAACCGAAATCTTCCCAGCCTGTTTGCAGGCAGTGCAGGCTACGGGAGTTGATCTGTTAGGTGCTCCATGTATTGCATCATGCAACACATCTGCAAAAATTTGGCTGCTGTTTGGATTTCTGCTGTTTGTAGATCATGGCTCGTGTTTACCCGTGTGGTTGAGGTATTGAAGAGATAAGCTAGGTAGTGATATGAATGTGTCAGAAAGGGCAAACAAGGTTCTAAAATCTAAAGCTTAATGCTACCAGACTGAGTAGACGATGTTTCTGCAAGAATGTACTAGTAAAGTAATAACCCTTTCAGTGGACTTCCAACAGCTCAGTAACAGTAATGAGAGAACTATAATATGCTGGCCACTGCCAAAAACAATCCAACAACTTTTCCGACTGTTCTGCCACCCTAAGAAAACACTGACTGGCTGGGTTTTAACCACAAAAGAGTTTATTTTCAGCAGGGATTTTTTTTTAAGCT